GCACTCGAGACCACGGTTTTTCTGTTGATTACCAAGGAATTGGTGGTTGGTGTGGTGGCATCTTGGATACTTGTTCACATCTTGAGCGAAAGCGAACCAAATCTTCAATGTCATCAATACCAGACCAGTGCACATAACTGCGGGCGATTGCCTTCATTCTGTTCATACCGGGGTGAGCAGGATGGAGCAGATGGAGCACACCTTGCCGGATGCATGAAGAAACGGCAACTCGATCTGCAGTCATGAGACAGGAATCGACCACGGAAAAGGAGTCGTGGCGTTAATACAGTTGTTTCAGTTCGTCAAAAATGGCAGTGTTTGGCCAGCGCATCTGAACCTAAATGACGGCTTTCTGCAAGACAGGGTCTTGAGCAGTTGTACGACGTATGTCGGCGGCAGTAATAAGGAGACTTCGGATAGTGTTCGTGAGTTGATGACGAACGCCGTGCTCGACGGTAACAGCGGCGATCACCGTGTCTGCTTCTGTAGTATGTTTGGAAATGAAGCGGGAAAGCCTATTGGCTTGATCGAAATCCTGAGTACGACAGTAGCGGATTTCGTAGTCGTAACCAAGAAGGATGACAACCCAACATTGAAATCGGCTAGCCGAGGATACGGGAATGCTCTTCTCAGAACCGAAGATTGAAAGCAGTGACTTGCGATCGGTCAATAGCGTGATCCGCCGGTTATACCGTAGCTTGTGGAACTTGGGTACGCCAAACACGGTAGCCACGGCCTACTTCTCAATCTGACCATAGTTCTTCTTCGCAAGTATCAAGGTACATGAGACGTGCACAACCGCTTTTTCCGAACCATTTGGGAAGCAATGGGAGGGAACTGCTCCGAGCCCGTGGGCAGACGCGTCAGCAGCGACTAAAATCGGCAAGGTTGGGTCGTCATTGGTCAGCAGTATGCCAGACCTCAGCATGGATTTCAGACCAACAAGGGCATTCTTGCAAGCGGGGGACCAGTGCCAAGTAAAGTCCTTCTGCAGCAACGGATCAGGCGGGGCTCGAACATCATATAGCGATAACAGGAAGGCGCTGTAGTAGCTGCTGAGCTCCACGAAAGACCGCATTTGTGACACATACGCTGGAGCCGGCATCTACTGGATGACTCTGACGTTCACAGGCTCAGGATGACGGCCAATGGCATCGAAAACGAAACCAATGTATTTGATCGATGTAAGAAAGGATTGACATTTCTCGGCATTCAAGCGGAAAGCATACCCCTAAACACGCTGAAAGATCACAACCAGGCGCTCTCGAAGCTCTTCTGGGTTACAACTAATAATAAGTAGATAGTCCAAGTACGCGCCCGTACCCAAAATGCCAGAGATCATGGTGTCCATCGTCTGTTGGAAAATGGCCGGAGTGGTTTTGACACCAAACGAGAGCCTGGTGTGCTTGAGAAGACCACGATGTGTGTTGATCGTCAACCAATATTTTGAATCATGATCGACTTCGATCTGCAGGTAGGCGTCTACCAGATCGCTTTTAGCGGAACACGTACTACCGTTGAGTTTTGTGAAGAGGTCGACTGGGATCGGTAGTGGGTAGCAATTTGTCTCTAGCGGAGCATTGAGACCGGTGGAAAAATCGGCACAGATTCAGAGGGATCCATTCGGCTTCTTGCCCACGACGATCGGCGCTGCCCAAGCGGAATAGGGCACAGGCACCAGGAAGCTAATGTCTTCCAAATGTTAGAGTTCGTCATCGACTAAGCGTAGAGCTGCGTAGGGGACAGGCTTTTGGGACGGAATACCGGCTGAGCCCCAGGTACGAGCTGTAACGCAGCGCGCGTGCGGATACATTGGCCAAGACCATCCTGAAACATCGTGGCGAACTGTCTGATGATGTGATCGGTTCCACTGCTTGGTACTACCTAAGAATTAACAGTTGGCCCGGAGAGGGAGGTCGGCGAAGCCAAGTGTTTAGAGCCAGTCGAGACCGAGTAGGTCGAGCTTCGTCTTCGTGATGCAGCAGATCTCGCTGAATGTGGCATCTCGGAAGGAGACGGAGTCGTGCAGCTGCCCAGTTAGCTTCCGGAGACCACCACAGGCGCTGGTGGCTGATTGGGAGGTCGGTTCGAATTGAAGCTCTCCACGGGATCACCATAAATCCTCGGAGATGATCGTGATATCCGACTCAGTGTCCAATTGCAATCAGACGGACTGCCTGTTGACTAAGGCGTCAACGAATTTTCTACGATCCGCAACGTTGACTTGGAACGTGGCCAGCAGGCTCAGGAAGCTGCCAACCGGACCAGGTTTGGGTTTGTGTCTGGGTCGGGACCACTTCTTTTGATCGTGAGGGGGGGGCAGAACTGGGATGGCCCCCTTGGGCGTTGTAGGAGAGCAGTAGCCATCCCGATGTCCCACCCTGCCACAACGTTGGCATCAGTACTGGCGAAAACTGCAGTCCCGGTGGAAATGCCAGGAACCACAGAATCGGCACGCGTGGGGTGGGGACTTCGATCGGTTGGATTGGGCGGGACGCACAGACGATTGCGCCCTAGGTGCTGTGACTGCCTGGACCATACCAGGTGCGATGGCGTTCTGGATCATGGCTGAGTCGTGCTTCAGGTTCAGCAGCGTTTGATACTCCTCTGCCAGTTTCCGGAGTGTGACAGTGGTATTCTGGTGTAGCTTGGATAGGAGGCGCGTCCGGATATCGGCATCATGTACAGACCGTAGACCAGAGATGAAGATCAGGCATTTGCATTAACCCTCTGTGAGCAAATCAAATTGAAAACACGCATTCACGATTGCCATGCCCGCGTACGTGATGAAATCGTCGGCATCACGCTTGACGAGCTGCAGACATTAATAACGAGCGTTGCACAGGGAGGACTGCTCGCCAAAAATCTGGGACAGGGTTCAGACCGTCTCGTTGAAACTAACGTCGCATGGGTTCTTCGGCAAGATGAAATTGGCATAGCGTTGGTGTTCGCGCGTACCCAGTTTGCGCAGTAGCGGCCGGACCTTCCACGCGTCATCCTGGTAAGCCAGGTTAACGGTGAACAGGTACTCGTACGGCTTATGCCAAGAATCGAACGTTATTCCAGCCCTGACCTCGTACACGGATTCACCGATGCCTCTAACGACATGGTCCACTATCTGAGAATTGCCAATCGGACCTGCATGAAGGGAAGAACTGGAAAGTTTTCAGTTAGCATGGACGTCAATTTGAGTTGCTACTGCAGTATAAGTTTCAAATCGGCGCACACGTCTGTCATGCTTCGAAATCTCTGTCACCACTGTAACGGATTTGTGCGGGCCCTATCGCGTTAGCTTAGACGAGAGCTACGCGCAACCTGAGCACGCACCGTCTTCAAGCACGTAGTCGGGTGACACGAAAACGGACAACGACACGCATACGACCGGGGAACTTAGACGCGCGAGACAGACGAACGCGGAACACACGATCACGTGACTACGGGGGTCCCAACCACCGAGAGAGAGACTACAAGGGCAGACGCAGCGGATCTCTGGGGTCTTTTACAATCCCCAAAGACCGAATCACAGTTGGAACAATGGTTCATTTTGTGGGTGCATGAATCATCAGGTAGGGCTGGTGGTTTAGGAAAGAACATTGTCCACTTTGGCTCAGTTGCGCCCCGACTCGTTTTGAACGCATCCTGCAACGTTGTGGGGAGGAATTGAATTCTGCTTGGCAAAGTCCACACACTGGCGTTCGTGGCGCATTTTTGCGGGAATACTTGACGTGCCCGCGACACTTTTTAGCAATAATCATCGTAAGTGACTAATAGGCTGGCGCTCAGTACCGTTGTAGTGTCGTTTCAGCACTTTGGACTCAATGGAAGAGGACGTTCTGCGAGTATTTTTGAACTATTCTTATTTACAAATCCTCACATCAGATTTACCGAAACTCAGTCCGTCAAACTCCTGAGACAATATCTCTACACAGAAGGTCAAAGACATTTTGATGCATTGAGTTTGTACGAAACACACCTTTGTTGGACAGTTTCAGCGCAATGATTGCCTTTGATAGCTGCGGCTACATCACTTTACTGCACGCCTGAGTTTTTCCCAGTTACGACGGGAAGAGGAAGGTGTTAATGAATTCGTCAGTCGTATAATGCAGTTTCTTCCTGATTGTCGTTATAATGAACTTCCACAAAGTTCGAAGAGACAACGTCTATCCAGTGTCCAATTCGGAATATGGGAACAAAATTACTTGAGAGACAGCATGTTCACTAGTCAGACAAAGGGAAAAGATAGTGTAACAACTGGTTTATTATAGGAATGATTGTCTTTCTGACACAGTTCACGCGGTCGAATCGCGACTTCCACCAACCGGCAAATGTTCTTTCACTTGCTACCGATGCGGCGAAAAGTATGAACATGCTGCTGATTGTAGACAAATGTGATCTGTCTGGCACAGATGCAGCGAGATTGAACATCTTGCATGTAAATGCCTTTCGACAGTTAGCCAACGATCGATACCCTGTCCTGTGCAAAATACTCTCCGATCAGTGGAAAATTATGACGAGTCCATCTCCTATTTAATGGCACATTACCACATTCCATGGTATAAGAATGCCTCCATGTACTATAGATTTGGACATAGAAGACCAGTCAGTATGCTTGGAAATTAACATTGGGTCATCGGTCACTTTGATCAACAAGCGAACATTGGCTGACCTTGTTCTGACATCGACTCAGTCAACCTTACATTCTTACACTGGAGGAGCACTCAAGGTTTTGGGCGTGTGCGATATAAGGATAACTCAGGGAAGCAATAATTTGACTCTTCCGTTGCTCCTGGTTAACCCCGACGGCTCAAAGCTGCTTGGGAGGAATTCGTCGAAACACATGCCGGAAGTGCTTCGAACTGTTAAAAAGTAGACCTCATTCCAGCTTTTCCCATAATTTTGAAAGCTTTTCCTAGTGTTTTCGATGCATATCTGTCTAGGAGCCTAGGTGATTTCAAGACTCGTTTAAAGATCCATCCAGCTACTCAGCCGAAATTTATCAAAACAGGAAACTTGCCCTTCGCAACCCGTCCACAGTTCAGTCGGAGCTGGAGCGTCTTCAAAAGAACGGAATAATCTCGCTTGTACGCCACCCATCCTGGTCCGCACCCATCGTCCCGGTGCCAAAGCCAGATGGCTCGATTCGCATTTGCGGTAACTTCATACTGGCTACTAATCAGACGACGACTACGGGGCACTACCTTATTCCACCTATAGGTAACCTCTATGCAACCTTGTCGGGTAGGCAAAAGTTCTCCAAACTTGATCTCAAATGCGTCTTCTAAGGAAGGTGCGAGGATCAATACCCAAGGGGGTTGTTTTACTATGCCCGGTTAGTTATCGTGCGGAGTGCATTCAAAGCATAAGACATGTTAGTAAAGAACATTCTTGGAGTGTGCGCATACGTGCATGATATCTTGATCACCGGAAGTATATATTAAGCACATCTGATAATCCTCACTATCGTTTTGGAGTGTCTCCAAGCTAGCGAACTTAAACTCAGCGAATCCAAGTGTGTCTTTTTCTCTGTGAGTGTCGAGTACCTGGGGTTTCACCTGGACAAGCATGGGTTACGTCCGTCACGGGAGCAAATTCAACCCACTCTGGATGCGCAGATACGTCGTAAGATCCATGAACTGCAGTCATTTCTTGGTATAGTGAATCAGTACAGTTACTTTTTGTCAAACTTACTCTTGCATATAAACCTGTCTGGGGCCCGCACATAAGCTGGCGTCTGATTACTTTTGAAGAAACATCTGAGCGTGTCATTCTTTGGTGGTCTGTGACCGATCATCTCCGCCATCTTGCCAATCGTTACGTTAGTACAGCCCAGGATGTGCAATCCGCTGAGTGTGTGTAGTATCTTGGCTTGTGCTGGTAATTCCATCAACCCCATGCTTGGTTTCGCGGGTGGTGGTGGCAAGGCGCGCTTCAAAGCTCCTGATAAATACACGCTTGAGCTGCACCTCAGTGGATTCTTCATTTCCAGTGTTCGTTTCTGGGATGTACACAACCTTGTAATTTTCGGAGACCAGATTAACACTAACATAATTTCACTAACCGAAGCACTGAAAGATCCTCAGTCCGAAGATTTGGATGCCGTTGTTCTAGGAAAAGTTGATCCAACCGTGAACGCAGACGAAGGTGAATACACTATCAATTACATTGCATTTCTGGATTTCCCGGAAGGTGAGACGACGGTGTGGACAGTGTCCCAATGGGAACAATGTGTGATCATTTCCGATTGCACTTGTTTATTTAAGGAAGCTTTAGAATATAAAGGAAGCTTATCTCATTTAGAAAATTTACCACATTACTTTTTCTTCGCTAGACCGCTAACCCTGCGTATATCTAGCACACATATATATGTAGTTCGTTCAAAATTCCATCTAGCGAACAGAAAGTAATGCGGTAAATTTTCTAAATGGGGTAAAGTTCGTTTTTATTCTAAGGGTTCCTTAAATAAACAAGTGCAATCGGAAATGATCACATGTGGTTTCCACTGGGACACTGTCCACACCGTCGTCTCACCTTCCGGGAAATCCAGAAATGCAATGTAATTGATAATGTATTCATCTTCGTCTGCGTTCACGGTTGGACCAACTTTTCCTAGAACAACGGCATCCAAATTTTCGGACTGAGGATCTTTCAGTGCTTCGGTTACTGAAATTATGTTAGTGTTAATCTGGTCTCCGAGAATCCCAGGGTTGAAATACACGTTTGACCTGATAAAAGTCGTGTTGGACTTCTCTGGTCGTCCACTGGATTGTGGGACCGCGAAAAATAACTCAGTTAAAATGAATATTACCAACGTTATCCAGACTAGCGGGAGTTTCCTTAATTTGTATGACAATGTGGCATCAGCTTGTTTGAACTAGCTACGATCGATTTTCTGGTCGAAGCGTAGGTCACTTTTGTTGGACGAGATGCGAGTGTTGGTAAGTAGATTAACGCTATCGTTTGGAAGACGACCGAGTCAGCCTCGTGTACTGCTGAAGTTAGTGGTTTAAGTACCGATGAAAAACCTGTGTGGTGCGGTGCACCTCGTTAAGTATACATTAAGTGTTAACATGAATCGGTAGTTAAGCATGAACAGCTAACTAGAAGAGCAGTGAGCTCTGTGTGTAATCTTTTTCAATCATACGGTGCAGCTAGCCGAGGTAAATACTTGTGCACCGGACCAATGCCGGCATGTCCGCATGGCTGGGAGTAAACGTTTATTTATACATTTCTAAGTTATCACGGTTCTTTGAAATTTGCGCGGTATTCTTGAAAATATTTGGACATGTTTCACACAGAATTTTCGCTCCACAAAATTCAAAATAGCAAGAAGAAACTACATTTTCATAGAATAATCTAAATTCAAACATTTCGCGTCTTCTCATCAACTGTGTACAGACAATCAGTTGAATCAGCATGCTGATCAGAAGGCGCGAATTAGTTGAACAGATTATTCTGTTGAAACATTGTCTTCTCTTACTATTTTGAAGTAATTTGACATGGTCGAAATACTTAGTAACTCAGTTGCTAAAAAGAAGGGTGCGTGTAACGATAGTCCCTTATTTCGTTTTGTCACGCGCGCCACTTCTTGCATCAGAATTGGCATCTGTCGCTAAACTACATGAACTTGATTCATTGGTGCGTATTCAGCGCTGCTCATGCCTGAAGTGCAGATGTCAATCGGACTGTTGCTCAGCTATGGCTTCGTGCTTGGGCACCATGCAGGATTTGCACTAGTGTACTCAAACTTACTGACGTCAAATGTCTGATGATTTGCTGAAATCCGCGCAATCCAAAATGTTTGTTATCCTGCTCATATGCGAGCTTGATACCTTTCTTCTACAGCATTGATAGCGCCTACTTCAATGATCTTTAGTACCCTCAATGTGAAATATTTTCATCCTTAATTCTCTGGATGCAGTATGTCATCATAACTGATAGTCAAACAAGTTAGGTGAACAACCGGAGCTGGTGGAGAATCATTGAGTGGCATGCACCAGTTTGACGCAGCTGAATGTTATATAGCCATCGACCAAACAGTGTGTATATGTCTGGGGCAGCAGCATACCCAATGATCTATGGACAATGTGACCATGAGGCATTGGTTTGCGATGGTCCCAGCCACTGTGCACTATCCCTAGATGTGTCAAAATAGGTGAGCAGCATGTAGATCCTTTGAACAATACAGTTTGGGTCTAAAAGTTTTAATTTTCCGTAAGTTCCCAACCTCTCATTTGAAACATGCCACACAGATATGGGAGCTTCGGTACAAGCACGGTCTTGTCCCACTTCCGATCTCACAGTGAAGGGTGAAAGGAGATATATCTCCAAGCGCTCTTCTCATGTTCACATATACGGAATGCTAGAAAGGCTGACATCTGCATAAAGGACTGTACTATTTGTAACCAAAATAAGTTTATCAGTGTAAACAACCCATTGTGCCCCGTGGTATTTACAGTCGATATAACAGTTAGTGAATGTGTCTTATTAGTATGAAGTAGAATTGACTAATTGCCTTAACGTAACGCTACGGCGAGTATCTTTACCTTCATCTACTTACGACGTTAGCATTCAACCAACTAGCCCCCAACATCGATGTCAATTCATCATTGGAGCAGACAACATCCGCCCGAAGGCACTGAAGGCTGTGGCTAATAAGCTAGCTGAACCACTGTCACAGTTCAAAATTGAACTTGGAGGCTCCGCTGGTGGTTGGGTTGCTACAAGCAACCTCTATTGAGACCTCGGTTCACTTGAGGTGGACCTCGGTCATTCCGATCACAAAGACCGTAAGTAAAATGGGGTGCCAGTGTTGGGGTGAGCAACACTATAATGTTTCCACTGTCACAGTTCTTTCAAAGGTGCTTTGATGAACAACGAGTCCCCACTATATGGAAGTGTGGCATAATAACCCCTATTTTTAAAGGCGGTAGCCGTTCCGATCCTGCAAACTATCGTCCAGTGACTCTCCTCCCTGTGCTCGCGAAGGTGATGGAAGCAGTCGTCGCTGAGGCTTTGATGGACTAT